GTTGTGTTTTATCTTCCCCCCCCCCCCCCCCTTTTTTTTTTTTTTTTTTCTTTCCTTTAGCCCTGATCTGTTGTTCAGGTGTGATGTGACTGGCTGCATACATGTGTTCTCCAGTAGGTGTTGCTGCAGGAGGAGAGACAGCCTGCAGTGGTTGGGAAGTAAGGGTGAAGGGAGTTACAAATATAGAAAGTTCTTCTAAATAGCTCTGAAATTGATTAACGTGGTCAGCTTTTCAGTCACCATAGTGCTACCATGAGTAATCGTTTCTTTCTTTTTTTTTTCTCTTTAGGGTTGGGGTTTTTTTTCTGAGGACTTGGAAGTTGTTTTATCTGTGTCATTATACAGAATTTTTTTGGTGTATGCTTTTAAACTATTGATGTTCTAGAAACTAACAAAACTGACTAGTCTAGGTATTACATTTTGCCAGGAAACGGACTTTAAAATATTACAGCTTGACTGAAACAGTATATTTGGTAAAGAAGAACAATACTGTATGGCTTTTGTTAGACAAAAAGCAGGTAACCAAGTTACAGCTACATCTGTTCCTTGGGAAGTTTTTCTTCAACAGTCTTTCTAATTTTTATTTATTTATTTTTAAATATATAACAAAGTATCAGAGAGCTGTGGCAAGGTTTAATCCTGAATTTCAGTTTTTCCTGTTCTTACTCTATTTTAATCCGAATTAGCTCAGGCACATTGATATGACTAGCAGCTAGTCACCTGGCTTGCTAGATTCATAAACACAGAGGTGAATCCATCAGAATGTGAGACTGACTGTTCTGGGTTCCTCTTTGCCTGCTGAAGCAAACACAAAATGAGCCTGTCATTAGAAAAAGCAATCATGAAATACAAGTCTAAGATAGAGCAGAACGTGACAGCTGGTTAAAGGTGCACTGCTGGCTGCCTAGCCAAAAAGTATTTTCCAGGAATCCAATGTACCGCTGTTTCTAGCTTTTCTCCTGAGTTATTTGGCTCCAAGTATTAGAGGAATTGGGGAAAAAAAAAAAAAAAAAAAAAAGAAAAGTTGAACAGGGTTCTGAGAACTGTTTGGGCTTAAAGAGACACATGCAACTTTGGGGGACTCCATTAAGATTATATCACAGAGAACGAGTAAAAATTAAGTTATGTTTGTGATTAAATTAAACTAGTATGTTATTTTCTTTTCCATCCAGCATTGTGTAAAATATGCTAAAAGTATATTAGAGTCCAGTTTCAGTCTTTAAATAAGAATAGAAAGAAAGGGAAAAAAAAGTACAATGTCTATTTTCTAACCCTTAACTGAATAATATTTTGCACAGAGATAAAATGTATGGTTTGAAATTAGATTTCTACCCATAATTGATCATGAAGGACAGATTGTGATGTAATTAAGCATGAGTTACCTAATTTTTTTTTAGTCTAGTCATACACATGCTATTGATTCCTAGGGTGGTTACCTTATGGTTATTTTAATCACAATAACTGCATTATCTTTCCTTTTATCTCACCGGTTCTTGTAAATTCATAGGACCGTAGCATTATCTCTGGATAACTAGGATGTATATCTGCCTATTTGTTTCAGTACAAATGAACAGCACAAACACTAATCTCCCCTGTATTTTTCATCACCAGAAATGCTGTTGATATTGTGCAGCCACAAGGAGGCAGAGAGGGGAAAACCTATAAATGCCTATAGTATTCTTATTTCCATTCTGGATCAAACAATAAGCCAGAAACATGCTTTTCTTTGTACCATTTTCCATGTATTGTTCACTTAAAATAAGGCATGGAGGAATGTGGGTGAAAGGGTAGCTTGACCATCAGTTGAAAAATGTTACCTCTCCCCATTTAAAAGCTGTTTTGTAAACAGAATAATATTGGCTCTTGCAAAATTAATGTTCCGTAGTACTAGTGCAACATTTATTAATTTTGCATATGTGTAATACAAATAATATTATTTTTTTTTGCAGCTTCCCTCTCCTCTCTCTTTCCCAAAGTGCACAAAATCTTTATGTTAACTTTTAAAGAAAATTCTGCAAAAATTCTGTCACCTCTTTTACTTCTTTAGAGCATTTTAAATTTTAGGGAAGACTGGATTAGATGTGAATGGTACTTCTCCACAGCAACGTACATAGATGACCTTGATATCCTTCAGAGTAATGCCTTGCACAAAGCTAAACACTGTGTAACCATTAAGTGTGAGACTTTATCCTCAGCTTTCACTCTAATGTTTTAAATTGAAAACAGTAATTCATAGTCAAAACAGTAATTCATAGTCAATAAAAACACAGACATGACCTTCTTCAGAAATTGCTTTGTGTGAGAACCTGACTCATAGTTCCTATCACCATGAAGTCAACATGATTTCAGCTTTTGCCACATCTCAGGCTGTATGGTCCTGTCCTAAGATCTAGATCCTGAGAAGGATTTAGGCCCTGGATTTTGTTGGTTTGGGGTAGGTATAAGTAGCAAATAACAGACACTGGTTTATCTCAGCCTCTTGTGTGGCTCATTTCCCTGTCTGTAAAATGTGTGTCTATTAGTGTTTCCCTACCTCACAGGGGTGTTATGAGGATAAACGTAAGAAGGTGCCATTCAAAATTTGAGATAACATAATTACACAGGAAACTACATGCATGGAGTCAACTAATAGAAAAATTGTTGAAGGTGCATAGAGGGGCTGGAAGTTGAAGAATTATGCTAGAGGTTTTATATCTGTGTAGTAACGAGCAGATCCTTTATTCTCTTCTAGCATGTGCCAACATGGCAACTGGATTTGATGCCATTGCTGCTATGTATTTTGCAGAGCAAAACAGAAGTTTAGTTTTCAGCCCCCTCTCCTGAGAAACTTGTAAAGTCCCTTTTGTTTTTACTGGGGTTATCATACACTTTATTAAATGCGGGGTACTTCCTTGTCCCCACTACCAAAATGTAAATGAGTTCTCATCCCAAATTAGATTACTCTAACCTAGTATGTCTTCTTTGCCATTTTACCATTTAATCATCTGTAAGTGCACCCTGTTCTGCAGCTGGGAACAGACTGCTTTGCAGCATTCTGATTAAAAGGAGAAAAAGTAGGTTTTGGAGATAAAATTTACTCAAGTACTCAAAGTTTACCTGCTTTCTATGAACTATTTTGGGGGAAAGGAGATTGCTCAGAAGCTGTTGAATGCTCAGTGTATGCCAGTTATCTCTCCTTTTTTCTTCTCTCACTGTCTTAGTGGATGCTGTTAAAATGTTTGAATTATGACTTAATGAAAAGCCATGCAGGAACTTCTGTCTGTTCATAAGCTATCCCTCCTTTTCCATATATTTTTGAAAGAAGTGAGACAGGTAACAAAGTTGATGTCTAAGTTTTCATCATAGAGGTCTATAGCTGATCTGTCACTGAGATGAGTGAGGCTATCAGAAAGTCTTAGAGCCGTTTTGCTGACACATTTCAGAGCTTTGGTTTTCATTTAGAAAGTTATGCTTTCAGTACTGCCTCTCAGAGACTCAAGATCATTTATATTCTTCTGTAGCTTCCAAAGCAAAATGGAAGTATTGATCATCCTAAGACAATTTGTATTTCTGGGTTGTTTGGTTTTTTTTTTGTGATCAGGTGGTGTTATATTTATAGTAGAAGGAGAATATTTAAAAGATCTGGGGAGTATTTATGGAGATGACTGTGGTAGAAGTTATAGTTTGGTCTTGCTATTTAGGGCCAGAGTAATTTGGGCTGCTGTTCTCAAAGTGCAACCAAAAGTACTTTTCTATCCAGAGACAAATTCCTTATGGCACATGCATTAAAAGTCCACAAATTTAAACAAACAAGCCCAAGAAAACCAAACAAACAAACAATCAAAAAACCTTTTAGAGATATGCAAGTTATGTTTGGATGGTGATGGTTTGTGAAACACTTAAAAATTCTTTCCCATGATGTCTTTTTCTTAGGGTATGTACATTAAATCAACTTATGATGGTCTCCATGTAATAACTGGAACAACAGAAAATGTAAGTATTGTTAATACTGTATGTTCAGACCTGGAAGCCTTTTTGACCTTACCTGTAGTTATGCTTTCCCTTTGCTATAGTCTACATTTCGCTTGCAAAAGTGTGCTAGTTGGCTGTTGAGGAGCAATAGCATGTTGGACAGCAGAAATGCTTGTGCTTCTTTACCTCAGAATTGAAAGTTGTTCCCAGTTGAGGACCAGGGGAATTAGTTTTGATTTGTTTTTGCAAGACACGTAAAATGCTGCATTTGAACAAGATAGGAAGTAGCTTGCTCTGAATAAAGATAAATGTCTTTATTATGTATAGGCTGATATGCTGGAGTTTGGTGCAGTGTTACACAAACAGCTTTTATAATTTTCCATCTATCAAGCTTTATTTTGTAATATGTAAGTGCATGGAAATGAGGACATCACATTGACAAATAACCATTTATTTCTGCATGAACTTATGAGTAATGCATAGAGAAAGGAACACTTAATACTGGTGTACTAATTCTTACTGAAGGTATTAAACAACAAGCAAAACATAATAGACTACTTTTAAACTGCCTTTGAAACACAACCTGCTTTCCTTGTACACTGTATTTAGAGAACTGGCTGTCTGTTAGGAAGTGAGCAAAATCATAATTTTGGAGGGAAATGCTTCTATCCATAATCTTCAATGAACATGGAACAAGTCAACAAACAACACTGAACTGTTCCCTAATGGTTTAGTCATTTCCTTTCAAAGATTTTGATGACATTTTCTTAAAATGAAGCTGTCACAAATGTTTCATTTATCCTGATACTGTGTCACACTATGGAAAGTGAAAACTACCTACATTGTATTTAAAACTGCTGCATCTGATGTGCAGAGAGGTTCTGTTAACATCTCAATAAAACAGGAAGATTATTTTCATTCCTTCCTAGGAACTGCAACCTGATAGCCTTTTTTTTCTTTTTTTTTTTTTTTTTTTCCTGCTGTGGGGCAGACCAAATAGATATTATCAGTGCTAGGGTTTCTTTGAATGCAACGTGTCTCAGAATAAGGAAAATATAAGGAATTTCAATCTTGAAATAAAAATTCTAGGGAGTCAGTCCTACAGCTACAGATATCATCAATGAAATTAGCAAAACTCAACAAAAACAACAGAGCCATATTTGAGCTTAGTCTAGAAAACATATGAAAGAAAGCAGATGTTTTTTAAAGTTCAATTTATCTCAGATTAAGAAAGGAGCTTTTTCTCTGCATGACTTACTAATATCAGATTTAATTTCCCAGAGGCAAAGATAAAAATAAAATCTTAATGCATTCCCTCAAAATTGTTATCTTTTGTGATTCATGAATGTAATTTAAAGCCACGTCAGGAAGCTTCAGTTGTGATGACTTTTCTGCTTTCCTTACTGACTTTTTCACTAACTTTAACACCCTGGAGGTGCTCACAGCAAACTGAGAAACTGCAGTCTACTATCTAGGGAAAAACCTGTTGCATGTAAAGCATTTGTGAAAAGGAGTAATGCCTTTAAACACAAAGTTGCTAGCTGCTTCCTTAAATAAAAAACAAACAAACCAAACCCCACAAAAACTTACCAGCAAAACAAAACACAAAGCAAACAAACAAACGAACAAAAAAACAAGCAAAAAGTATTATTCTGATAGAAGGGAAGAGAAACAGCTAAGTAGCATGACCAGAACAAGGTCATGGTGGTGCAGTTGTGATCTGACCTTGTTGGTGTTAACATGTTTAATTCTCTTCCCTCTGAGCAAAATTCTTTTCAGTTCTGCTCTTTGAGTTGAGAAATTGGCATATCTTTTTATCTGACACTTTCCTGAAAGATCACAGAGAAGCACTTGTCTTTTTAATGAACACAATAGCATGGCAGTGCTAGTTGCATTAGTGTAATGTGGTTGTTTTTGTAACCAGGTTCTGCTTTTTGCTTTTTTTTTCCATTCAAGGTGCTCAATGTCCAACTACAAAGCCTGTTAGAGCTTGAATCGTGCTGTTCAGCATTAGGACTAATTTTCCCCAACACATCAGCCCTGCAGTTCAAAGCAGCTGAGCTCTGAAACTTGAACTGTGAGAGAGCAGAGTTTATCACAGGTCACTGCCCTGTAAGAGTTTCTTTCTGGTGGTCCTTTAGCAGTAGAGCAAGCTGAGCTTTGTGGTTGACATCTTCTTTCTTTTGTTGGGAAGTAACAATTCTAAAGGCTGTATTGATCCAGCAAGAGATTACAGCTTTCTTGTTGAGCAGGCCTTTTAGATTATGATGGAGAGATTATTTTAATTCACAAAACAAATGTATTCTTCAAATAAGGTCATTTTGCAATTCAGTTTTTCAATGGAAAATAGCATTTTTAAAGTAATAGCATGCAGTGCCTCTGCAGCAGGAGTGTAACTTCAAAGGAGGTGTTCCCAGTGTCCTCACTTCTGTGCACTGGTTGAATTTGTTGGTTGCCCTTAGATCTCAGGGAAGAGAGGCCTTTCCGAAGAAATAGCACAGAAGTCTCCACTCTGGGCATGAAGCAAGCAAATGTGCTCCAGAGGGTCTAAACTGGCCTTTGTGACAGTATAATTATATTGGGGGAATGGGACAAAGACAACATTTAGCTTAAAGGACAAAACTATTCTAAATAATAAACCCTAAGCAGATTCTGAATAACCTTGAAGGGTATCAATGTGTGATCCTCAGTGACAGGTACTTTCATCAGTCTTCAACTCCTTGTTGAGCTGAATTACAAGCTAAAGAAGCTAAAGCCGTGATTTGACACACTTTGTTCCTCCTAAGTGGACTTCTTGAATGGATGTTTTACTTAGTAATCAGCATATGCATCTAAAAAAAGGAAAGAGCTTATAAATTTGCCTGTTTTCCTTAAATAGTAATGACAAAAGATCCTGTTTCTTTACAGCAAGGTCTGTATTCTTTCCCTGGGGGGGGAAGTGGAAAAGGTCATAAGACCACAGCCTCGAGACTCCTGTATAGATTATTTTTACCTCACCTTGCAGTGTGTTTGAGGCATAATTACAATGAGTATTTTTTTAAAGTAGGCATTTCCAATTTGAAAATTCTCAGACCATATTTATTGACTTGGCAAATTGCTACACAAAATACCTATTTGGTCAAGATTTTTTTAAGCTGCAAGAACTGAAGTCAATACATGAGAAAGTTTGCATCATGATACAAACAAATACTGGAGAGTTCAAGGGTAATGACACAAGATTCACTTGTATTGACATTTTTTAAGACTTAGGTGCAACTATATCTGAGCTAAAATAGCAGCATTACATAGGAGGATTATAAAGATTGTTAGAGGTATGAATGACTAAGCATGAGTAGTGAAATAGTGAAATAGCAGGCAGAAGATAGATCGTTAGAACATAATCACCTGTGTTAATTTTTTTCCCCAATTCATTTAGCCAACACCTTTAATAATGCTGAAATAACACAAAAAAGTTGTCTACCATTACACTTTTACCAGCCAGCCTGATTTAGGATGTTCTGAGACATTTATCCTAGAGCTGAGTCATGAGTGACCCGTCTTTCAGCCTCATGTTTCTCTTGGTTATCTCCCATTTAAACACTGTTCTTAACTTAGGCCATTAACTATGTGGAATTGTACTCAAAACTCATGGAGTAGCTATGGGACTTGTATTTTGAACGGGGATGTGGTATATATAGGTTTTTAAAAACAGTTCTCATTTTAGGCCTGGAGCATACTCTCTAGGTGACCTGTTATCTCATCTGAAATTGAATTTAATTTCATTTCTTTCTGTAAAATTCTTAGCAGATTTTTGAAACCTGCTCCTGAGCATCTTGGGTTTTTTCAAACTGTCTCACTTCCTACCTTTCATTAAGTGTCTTCATAGGCCTTTAGCCATGGTTTTGGAAGAAAAACCAAAACGTTGTCACTCTATGTAAAGCTGAGAAGGAACTTATTTTCCTCTAAACACAGGGGCATTTCCCTCAGAAAACAGTTGGCTTACTGTAAACACAGAAGGCAGAAGAAGCAGAAGTTTTGGGTGGATACTACTTTATAGGAGAGGGTTAGTTAGAGTTTTCAGTTGTGAGGTTTTTATTTTGGAATTATTTTGTTTTGTTGGGTTTGGGTTTTTTTTGAGGCAAAAACAAAGAGGAAAAATACTTTGCTTTTTGAAAGCGTGAGGTTTGTAGCTATCAATTCTGGTTGCATTTCTTTCACTGTAATGATGACTTAGAAACTAATTTACCATGTAACTTACGTGATCTTCTTAGCTGCTGCCTCACCTCCTTCTCTTGTGTACTCTTTGAATAACAGTAATTTACTGAAGTTCTCTGCAACATACTGAGACATAGTAGAATAACAAGATAATGTTGTGAAATTTGTTCATGAGGAATTTCCAGATAGTCTCAATAGGTTCAAAATTCAGCCAAATTTGTCTTTCAAGGTTTAAGACATGTCAGGAAGAGAAAACCTTAGGACTCATTTACCCTTTAATAAAATATATATATATTCATACTTTTCTTAACAATTTATTATATTGTGTACAATAGTGCAAATTCTTTTTCTCCAACAATGAAGTGATTTATTAAATATTTCTTTAACTGTTTATTTCACAGTAGAATGTAATTATCAATCTAATCTGATTTACATAGCTTAGCAATCATACTGCTGAAAGAGAGATGATGACCAGTAAGAACTGTATTCTTTATCATCTCTTTTATTTTAAATTCAGTCACCTGCAGATCGGTGCAAGAAAATCCATGCTGGGGACGAAGTGATTCAAGTTAACCACCAAACTGTGGTATGTATGTCTACGTTCTGTGTCAATTGAAGATAGAGGTTTCATGGCACATCAACATGTGTAGAGAAGAAATGTGTATAAAAATGTGGTTTTATACATTATTATTTATTGTAACATCTAAATTTTCCTTTTCTCTTCTGAAACCACTTAGTTCTTCAGTTCTCAAGTTAAGCTCCTAACTGCTAAGCATTGCTGGATACATCAATTTAGGCTAAATAGCTGTGGCTTGGAATATATGTTGTGTTTTCTGCTTACTCATGCTCTATTAATAAGCAGTTGGTTTTATTGTAATAGAAGGTTTGGGTTGAAGGGATGCAGGGAGTTGGAAATGTTGTGACTTTGTGGGTTTAAGGTCAAGATTACTTCCTGGAAGCTGGAAAGCTTAGTACTCTGTCCAAACTTAGGGGAATGTATAGAACATGGTTTTCAAGAATAAAAGCATTTAAGATTCCCATAAAGTGCCTAGGGTCTTTAGCTTAATTTAAACATGGATTTTTAAACTTGGAATGTTAAGATGGAACAAATCTTTCTGATATGATAGGCAAGAAAACTAGTACTGCACAAATTGCTCTTTGTGTGAACAGATGCTTGTTAGCTCCTGGTAATTTTATTTAGGATTGGTGAACTGTTAAAATAGAATTATCTTTTCTAAGGTAAAGCTTGGTAACAGGAAAGAGCAAACTGTCAGATAGAAAGCAACTATTTTTTTTAAATTATAAGGCTTCTTAAGAGTAATGAAAGTCAATATATGGTATTATTTACATGTGTATTTGCAAGCAATTTTAATGACAAAAAAAAATAATAGCCTAAATCACCATTATTAATACAGCTGTAATTTGTTAAAAGTGTGTTTTGTGATTCCTCATAGGGTTCCACTTCTAGCTTTAGGCCATTGTACATCCTGTCAACTCTTCACAAATTAGTGTATTATTTCATTATACCCTCCAGCTAAGTTTGATATCAAACATACTGTACATATGCAAACCTTAACTTATAAGTTCTCTTTTGAGTTTTGCAATGTAATTTGATAGCTCTAAGCAGATCAGGGGGAATTTTAATACGTTTTTTGTCCATATAGATTCTTCATAAGTGTTGTGTCCCATGGTTACTTACATTTACAGTTGATGACTAATTTCTCTATTTTCTGCACTAAGAAAGCCTATGACAACAATTCATTATGAAAAAAAAATTAGAACATTATTACTTTGGCTACCAAAATGCCTACAAATCTGAAGAAGCACATCTACTAGCATTCAGTCCATATGCTAGCTACTTTTTCCAACAAATGCTGATGGTGCTATTTAGCACCATCATGTTGCCTTATCAACATCAAAATTTCCACTCAACTAGGTTTTTATTCTAGTTTTCTTGGCATATCTACACTGCATTTATTTGATTTAAAGATCAGATTCTTACTTCTAAGACAAATAATAAAAACATTTTGACAAGTCCTGAGCTTTCATACCTAGTTGGATGGAATTTGGGGGTATTTTGTCTTTTGCATCAATGAAACTAGGTATTTTGAGATGTAGAGAAGTAGTTGGTGATATTCCTAGTAAAAGGACCATAGGGAGCTAAGACAAAGAATTTAATTTTTCACCAGTAACATTTAGTGTAGAGCATATGGATAGTAATAGACTAAATCATACATTTGTGTATTCTCTAGCTTTGTTGTATAAACAATATAATTTGAATGGCTGGCATATGTGGTATTGTACTTAACTTCCTTGTTTTTTAATGTTTCCTTTCCGCAGCAAGTCACCTTGCATTCTCCAGAAATGTGATAGCACCTCCCATGTTACCTTTACAAAAGTGTACTTTGTTCACTTTCCACTTTATAGAGCACAAATATTCAAACTTTTCTATAGATATTGCAGCATTTTAAATTCTTTTTCTTTCTTTTGGAAAGAGTCTAAGTCAGTCCTTTTGTACACTGGCCCCTGTCATAAGGAATTTACTGTCCAGTTTGAGGAATCTGTCTGGGGAGGTGTTCTGATTTACAGTGATTCTTACATAAGAGATTAAGAATTCTGAGGATATTACATTTTGTCTTTTCCATTTATTGAAATTTTTCACACTTCAAATACTGCTCAGCAATTGAAAACACAGGCTCTGTTTTTCAACTTGCTCCTTGTAACTTATGCAGCATCATTCATATTGACTATAAAAATAACTATACTTTTTAAAGATATAACAAAAAATGTAGGGAAGTATTCTTCACCTGTAACTATTGTTTAGTTGGTATCTCGTAATTGAAGAATAAAAATCTAAAAAATAAATCTAACTTTAAATTTACTTTTAACTTTTTTTCTATATTTTCAATGTATTCTTTTTGTCAAAGTGAAGTAAATACCTGGCTTTCAGTACTATATATATCAAAGAATGAATAGAAATATGAGGAAGAGAAATGTCACACAACTATTTAAAAAACCCAACTTATTTTCTAATACTTTTTAAAGAGTCACATTTTAATTATTATGAAAAGACTGTTATTTGAGAAACAGACAATTGTCTGTTTGCTTGTAGTGATGCTTAATCTTCATAGTATTTCATTTGGCAGTGAAATCAAAGGTTATTAAGTGATTGCCCTGATCTCTTGCTATGTTGATAGAAAACATGCATAGCAGGATCTATTCCACTTGTTGCTGGCAGGATGTCTGGAATGTAAATATTTTCTGAATTTTTAAAATAAAAATAATAATAAAATTAAGCCTAATATCAGTAAAAAGTTAATGTTCAGAAAACTGTAATTTACATTGTGGTTTATTGAGGTTAGATAGCTATGCAAATCTGTTGTGTCAGTTTTACCTTACAGAAGAGAATTTTTTCTAAATAACTTAGTAACCAGGAGGCATGGCTTCCTGATTAAAATTAAAAGGAATTATGTACTGTATTCCCTTAAACTTCCCTGTAAATTCCGTCCTTATTCTTCTCTAAAAGCCTGTGTGTCTAATATATTTCCAATGTAATAAAAAAAGTCATTCAGGCAATTCAGAATTTGCACTGTATCACAGTGTTCATGTTTCTGCCCATATATAATTTAAGAGTATATTTTTGCCTCAAGATAGTCCTCCTTTTAACCAACTGAAAGTGCAGGAGATGATAGTGTAGCTTACATGAATTATTACTGTTCACAATATTCCTTTTGGCTGCATCAGTGATAAAGATGTACAGAAAATACTCCAAGCAGAAAGCAGGGACGTATAGACTCGGGATGATGTAGGATTCTTCAATAGCAGACTCAAGTCTCCTGTGCATACTTTATTTTGGAGACATTTTTGGCACATTGCATATATTTCTAATACAAGTATGATATGACATAGAAGACGTGTGGATTCCCAAAAATTGTGTTTGCTAAAACTCGCCAGGACATGTGTAAATATAGATGATGGGAAAAATATGTTTAATTTGGTAAAATATGGACAGTTACTGATTTATTCGATGTAGAAGCTGGTATGTTCAGTATCTTTAACACCTATTAGTTACATTTTAAACAGAATCTTTTGGAATCATGTAGTATGTAGATAGCACCTAACTTTTATATGACTTGTTCCTTACTGTGGAAACTCCTCTGGGCTCTCATGGGCCAAGCCAAGTCCACAGAAGTGAGTTGCTGAGATTCTTTTTCTATTTACAGTACAGAAACCTTGAGGAGATCTAGCCAAAATTCCTCTGAAAGAGGATACATTTACACGACTATACCTTGCTTTTCTGCAAGGGTTTCTTTAAGAAGGGTATGACACCTTTCTAGATCCTTACCCTAACTTAATCTTTGCTTAGAAAAGAAAAGGAACAGGATTTTAAGCTTCACCATACAATTGGTTAGAAGAGTCCAGCCTCCACAGAACCTCTCAGGGTACTGAAAAAGGAACTAAATTGTCATGATCCTCTCCAAAGGTAAAAGCTTTTTCTGAGTTTGCAATTCCTTTTAACATGGAATTTGTGTTGAGATTATGTGGTGTTATTTATGATATTATCAGAGAAATATATCATTTTATATCCCATATGTAAGGGAAGTGTGATACTGTAGAAATGAAATGTATGAGGGAAGATGATCTTTTGTTTCCTCATGGTGAGTGCAAGTGTTTTCACATGAGTGTAAATGAAAAAGGGAAACAACTTGACAAATTTGACAAATGCAGATGGGTTATATTGTGATTTCCAGGAAATACTCTCCAGGGAGAAAGGATTCTCAAGTACTCTGAGGAGGAGGTAGGAGTTAGTCTTTTAAGGAGTTAGGAAAGTGTGCATGTGTATGTATGTAGATAGATTTCATTTTCGTTTTCAATATTTTTCAAATTAATATGTGGGAATATGTCACTGGCAGCTGCTCCACAGATGAAATATCTCTGCTTTAAGAACTACCCCTCTTGGATTTGGAGTTTAGTGTTTGAATGGGCAAGGACTCCTGCCATGTCTGCAGAAAAAGTGCTGGATGCTCTTGTCCATGGAATCTATTTTCCATTGATCCCTGGGGCTTGTTTGGAGTTGATGTGTGAAACACACACTGCTTTGATGAGCTCATTTTTTTGTAAATAGTGTGCTGTGTCAGTGTGGGCATCCACCTGCACTTCTCACTCTGGCAAATCAGCTAACAAACAAGTCATTACCGCATCTGCAGTAGAGCAGCATAAGCTTGGCCAGCCCATGTTGCTTCACATTTCTCCCAAACTTTAAGTAATTTCCCATTGTTCATTCCACATGAAATTTTCATGCCTGCCTGCACACCTGTGTCACCAGCAAGTGGAGTAAGTTCAGTTGCAGCAGAAAGCCACTCTGGGCTGCCTTTCAGCAGCTCCCTGTCTCCTAGATGATAGCAGAGCTTAACTCTGAGCTCTTCTGCCTTAATTTAAAGCCATCCTGTTTGGCTTAGCTGAAAGCATGAAACCTGGTTGACTGTGCCCCAAAATGGAAAGGGAGCACTGGCAGGGTCACTCATAAGTTACAAGTGGAAACCACTCCTTACTGCCTAAGGCTTCATGAGTGGCCAGTTTGATTCT